GATAAATAATACTTAAAAAAAGAAACTTTTTACTCACTAAAAGAAGTACCTTGTAAAAAATGTGTGTACAAACTGCTTAAATTACTTCCTTGTATTGATACCTATTCAAAAAAGTCATATGTTGTACAAAAATAAGAAATAAGTTTCTAATTTTTGCAATAATAAAATTGTGGGTAGGAGGAGCGTTTCGTAGAAATACGAACCTACCCGGTAGTCCGAGTAGGTGCTAAGCGGGCTCGCCGGGAGCTATTGTATCAACATTTTTTTGTTTAGCTGCGGTATCAATAGGGGCCTTTGTGAAGCATTTAAAAGTGTGTTTGTAGATTGACTCCAATTAGTTTGTTTACTTCAGTTAGCTGCAACTATTCGCGAGTGCGGACGTTTCGTTGCATTCTACTGTTCTAACTTTTCCTGTTTATCTCAGTGATAAAAGGTCAGAGTATACAATGAAGAATACGCTGACATCTTGTTCTATTACGGTTTTTGTGATGGTGGCATCGTCACGACCTGTGGCTTCGGGCTGCAGCACGAAGTAACTATATGCGACGCTACCCTAGTCGTCGTGTACCAATGAGAAAGTGTTTTGGCACGTACAGGCGCTTGAGGCGGGACAGCTCTAATTACAGCCGAAGGCACATAGATTCCTCCCGTTTATTTTCCAGAGGAGCAAGAGGAAATATTAGAGGCTGTTAGAAGAAACCCTACAACTTCTACTGGGATGGTAGCCAGGCAACTTGACACAACACAATTGAAAGTGTGGTTCACTGTCGCTGGCCTATACAGGTATAGGCCAGCGGTATGGATAATGGTACAGGTACCACAACACTCCGGTGCAACGCGTCGCCCTCGAACCGACGACCGCAGAGTATGCGGGCGTCGCCCGCCAAGCGCGCGGGTGACCGCATCTCGCGCGGTTTGCGGCCGCCGCGAGCAACCGTCTGCGCTGCGGGCGTAAAACGTGTCGTGAAATGTGCTACAAAATTTTGCATAAATTTCTACATTCTTCGGAGGCCGCGGTCCCGTAACCGCCGCGGGCGCGGGTGAAAACCGCTCCGTGAGTTCTTAGCCTAAAGCTACCAAAGCAAAATTCGATAAGACTTATGAATAAACTACTTGAATGAGTCTAATTACATGGGTACTACAAAAATGGCAAAATGAGGACAGTTGGCATTTAAAATGACGTTACGTATTTTCGATTCCCGTGTTTGACTTAGACCAATGTAATGCTATCTCTTTTGGCTTACTAATGCACGCAGTAGTTATACAAAGACAATAAAATGTTTATGTTTTCACCGTCTAAATCTTAGACTATGGAAACTAAAGGACATGTTACGTTGACATATATAAATCAGACGTTATATGTATATGATGCATTTCGACGTCGAAAACATAAACATATTATTGTCTTTGTTTAACTATTACGTGCCGTCTTAAGCCAAAAGAGATAGCATTACATTGGTCTGTGTCAAACACGGGAATCGAAAATTCGTAACGTCATTTTAAATGCCAACCGTGGCCATTTCAAGTACATGAGGTACATGATACCGTTGTCAAAGGGAAGTACATCAAATGTCAAAACAATGTTTTTCCAAATGTATTATTGAATTATTCACATGTATTATAATTAAATTGGACAAAAATATTGACAGTGAGAATAATTAGGTATTAATAAAAATGCGACGCTGCAGCATTAAAGGATGCGGCTTTAGAAAAACTGCAAATCAATCGAATGTTACATTGCACAGGCATGTGTTATTTTTTTGTCTATAAATCACACAATAGCCCGAATATTTTATGTAATTAGACTTATTTAAGTAGTTCATTTATAAACCTTGCCAAATTTTGCTTTTGTTACTTTAGATTGCCTGTTTGTTTGTATATTTTGATGATTGTTGTTAACGATTATTTTGAGATAGTGTTGATCTTGTAAGCATACATATTATCGATATTCTGTTATTAAAACAATTCACTATGAGGTTTTTATTGTTTTATTATTATTATTTCAAGTTTTCCTACAAATGAAAAAAGGAAGAAAGAATGGTTGGAAATCATAGGACTGCCGAATATAAACGTTGGATCAAAGACCATCTTCATTTGTTCGCTTCATTTTGAAGAGTCAAATTTTAACAACTTTAAATGTAACTAGATTACATGACAATGCTATTCCATCATTAGGTTTATTGGTAAATAATTTTATGTTCAATTTAGATTAAACAAGACTCATTTACTAGCTAGTCTCAATTCCTGAAAACAAAATTATCCACTCGTTTCTGATTTTTCCCAATGACAACTCTAACTATTAAAAATGACTATTTTTTTAAAGCCTGCAATACAATGACAACATACCAACGTATAGACAGCCTATTTGCCTTGCCTTGCCTTGTTCGGTGTCACTCGCCTAGCTGACCGAGTGAAGGCGAGCGCCAACGTGTATAGAGTTCATTCGGCTTATCACAAACCAAAGGCGCTCGACCAATAGCGTTCACACGTTAGTCCGTCCGCATATGAAATGCATACTGGTTTTATAACTCTATTCAAAAAAAAATCAAAACACAAAATAAAGAAGTATATATTATATATCAACAAAATGTCATGTTGTTCTGTTTCTGGAATAATCAGCATCCACCACGTTCGTTTTTGTCATTTCTTTTTTGCAACTTTATTGCGGGGATTTTATCGTGGGGAAAAGCTAGTACATGATAATTGTTGATTTCCGATAATTGATTTTTACAACTACTTCCATTATTTCTGTGTTAATATTGCTTGATAGATTCATTTGCTTAAGAAAGCCCGGGAATTAACGGGAATACTAGAATCCGCAGAAACCTGAATAGACTTGTACTTGACGGTTAGTTAAAAGACGTTATGTAAATATGTGCTAAAATGTAGGTTAAAGGCGTACCTCTTAAAGTAATTTTTATATTTTATTTAGTAAGTACAATTAATACTACGTAATGTTAAATACAAGTAAAGTAGGTATAATTAAGCAAGAATGCGCATGTCGCCAACAAACTGCACAGCAGTTTGGTGACTTTTACTAAATAAATAAATACCAGTTGTAATGTTGAAAATAAATTTTTTTTGAAGTTTAAAAATGTGTGTTGTTTGTAATTTATAAACATTTATAATAATATACCACTCGAGATTAAATTATCAGACTTGTGTTTGTTTAGGCATACTTTGGTTACAGTAAACTAAAGAAACAAAAATTCAAGCCATACATTTGCATGTCGATAATGACTTATCGATAGATTATGGTACAACACTAAAGATATCCGCCATTTGTAACTTTCAAATTTTGGTAATATGCACGTTGATTCTGTACTTAGGGCAGCTCCTTTCTTTTATTTTTTTCCATCCTCTAAGGTCTAAATGCATCATAAACATATAACGTCTGATTTATATTATGTCAATATAATATGTCCTTTGGTTTCCATAGTCTAAGGTTCTGAAGAAGGGACAAACTTCTTTTAAATAGGCAAATGGTGGCATACAATATTATGTCCAAGTAATTTGTGATAAACGTTGCCATTTAAAAAAAATCGCTAGGTGGCTTGCGTTATGATATGAGGTGTCTGTATTATTTATTTGAAACGATACGATACTTGTCAAAAAGTAAGAATATCTGAAAAGTATCGAGTACAAAAATATAGGTATCGCAGGGAACTGTACTCGATACCAAAAAGTATCGATACTTTTTCCGTGTCCCTATCCGTTGTTGACAGCAAGACTGCACAAAAGACATGATAGCTTGCGTAGTATTTATTTTATATTTTACTGTGTTGGTTCACGTTCATTTGCTCGGTGGTACTGATGTCTTATTTGAAGTAGTTTGGACTAGTGACGATGAGTATACAACGCATAATAATTTTGTAGAACAGCTAAAATAAATCTATGTATGAGAATAGAGTAGACAAATAGGAGAAATAGTGTAACTACGAAAGGTGTTCGTGAGTGAAATTATGGGAAAAATTAACAATTCGTTTTTATGGGGAATTATTTTCGCATCGGCAACGTGGACTGTCTCCTTGTACCTGTATTGGTTATTGAACATGAGTGGTAAGTGCCATAATATCTAAAATATTCCGTAGTAATGTATCGTTGATTCTATTTTATATGTGTTTATTCAACTGAAAGTGCAAAATAAAACGCATTGCTACGTTCTAGGAGCTATTCCAAAGTAGAGCCCTGGCTACTTTTCCTGCAGGTGTCTATTGCAATTACAGGTAGTGAGGCATTCATATTTTGCATCAATTTGTAGATGCCATTGAGGTTTCTGTAAATTAAAAGTAGTTCTGCTGAGAAAAGAGGTCTAAAAATAGTATATGAAGTGCAAAACATTATTGTACAATTCAAAGTTCCTTCTAGGGGTTACTGGGGATATTGTTTATTTTATGGTTGTCTAGAAAAAATAGTTTCAGATTGTCATAATAAGGGTCTGTTGTAGTGCAGTAGCTTTTTTAAAAAGCTACTGCTTTATAAAAAAGTTGATGATCATTCAGACCACTGTATAGCTTTGAATATTTTATAAGTTTCACCAGGTGTTACAATGTCTCAAGCAGTGTGACCTATGAATACATCAGTACTTTGTAATCCGTGTGTGTAGTAAATGTGATTTGTTGTTGGGGATTACGAAGGAATTGAAACAAGTGTTGCATAATTTGTGTACAAGTTGTTTCCTTCATTTGAAATGTATTTAATGTTAATAATAGTAAGACAAAATGTTCTTCTTTGTGCTCCAGAGGCTTCTATTTAAGCCTTGTAATAAATATAATAATAATAATAATGTATTTATTTTATAATGATGTTTTGACTTTAATATGTGTAACATGATTTTAGGTGAAAGTAGTCCTGAAAATAAAATGCATTATCGTTTAGTAAATACAGAGGAGAAGAATCGCATAAAAAACAATGACAAATCCATTGCAGCACTCGAAGGAAAGAACTTGTTGTATGATAACCCTCACAATAATGACAAATTTTATGGCAACATGTGGAAATATCATAAAAGTCACTTAGATTATCAACGAAAAAAGATGTTGAAAGAGAAATTTGCTAAACAGTTTGTTGTGAAAAAGTCTGGGACACTGGATAAAACTTTAGGTAGGTACATTTTGTCATTTTGTATGTCAAAAGCTCACTGGCTATCAAATGGTTGTTGTTATGTTAAAAATGTACTGGTGTAAGGTTAATAGCCCATTACAACCCGGCTAAATTAAAAAGTCCATTAAATTACTTGGTTTATGCAGAAATTGACATGTTTTAGTATGTAGCACAGGGGTGAAGATGCTAAATAATGAACATCATACAAGATACAAAAGTACACATATGTTTTACTTAATGAAATTGTAAGATTTACAAGTATATAAAACTTCATAATAATTGTACAATTATTAATAATTGGAACATAATAGTTAAAGTGGAAGCTTCATAATTGTACTATAACATTTAAAAAGTTTTATGTGTACAAGTCATTTATTCAACTTCAACTGCCTCTGTGGCTGAATGGCTACCAAGCCGAACTGCCACGCAGAGGTCCCATGTTCGATTCCCGGGCTGGGAGAAATATTTGTATGGCCTACATTTATTTCTCTCGTGAGTTTGGGTGTAATTTGTGGTGGTCTATGTGTGTATGTCCATGACACCCGCGACACAGGGTTTCCCTAGTGCGGGGCTATGTTGAGTGTGTGCGTTATTATTTGGACAAATTGTTTCACTGCCAACTTCACACAGGTATAAATATGAAGTATTCTCTGTATGTTTTCCATATTATATTGAGAAAAGTGAGATAAATATGACAGTAATTCTATTCTAGTCGTAGTGCTATTATTATTATATAAGTATTATCTTTCTGACATTGATTGGAAAATTTCTAGCATAGTTTTTACTCAAGTGCAAACCTAGCGTGATGAGTCATACACATTCATAATCTAAACATGACATCCCATATCATATTGCTTTTCAGATGGTCAATTTGGCTTGATTCGGAATGAAGAAGATGTTAGAATTCGAGATAAGGGATATAACTTGCATGCATTTAACATTCTTATATCCCAAAGAATAGGGAATCATAGGGTTATCCCCGATACTAGGCACAAATTGTAAGTATAGGTCTACTAGAATGTTATAATATAAATTAAACAAGAAGAATATAATTTAAAATCACTGATTTAACAGTCTGACTAACATTGACTATGATTGTACACTTTGATGCTTTTAATGCCACTGTAAATATGTCCATTTTCAATTTAGGCTTATATGTCAGACTAGTAGACAGCCTGTGATGTATCGATAATAGGATTAGTACAGCATAGAATAAATACAACTAAAACACAATTGCTTACAATGATGTACAATATATTCATCATGTGCATGTGCAGAATGCTAAGAAGTTTTATATAAAAAATTAAATTGTTTCAAGTGTGGAAAAAACTGTATTTGTTTTAAAAGTGTATTTGTATTAACTATTTTTTAGATGTCAGACTCAGAAGTACCCTGAAAAGCTGCCTAAAGCGTCTATCATTATATGTTTCTACAATGAACACTTTGAAACTTTGTTGAGGTCAATTCACTCCATATTAGATCGGACTGACCAAAGATATCTGAAAGAAATCATTTTAGTTGACGATTTTAGCGATTTGGATGGCTTACATGACAAGGTACAAAGAGCTGTCAGTCAATTAAACGGCAGAATGAGAAAAGAAGAAGAGATGTTGGAAACAAACAACATAGATGGTGATAATGCTGATAATTTAGTTGATTACATTAATGATGACAATAATATTGATAAGAAGACAACAGAAAAGAGTTACCTGTCTAAAGACGGTTTGAATGTGAGATTGTTGAGAACTAGTAAGAGAGAGGGTCTGATTCGTGCGCGGCTGTATGGAGCTGATAATAGTGTTGGCGAGGTGAGATTAACGTTTCATATCGATTTACCCTTTTCACATGCATACATGAAATCATACAAGCGAGGAATAATTACTATTTCAAATGGTTTCTTTTATACAAGTAACGTTTTTCTTGACTGGGTGTCGTATTAGTAGAGAATATTTTAATTAAATTGACTGTGTAAAAATACTTTATTTTGCGTACAGGTCTTGGTATTCCTAGACTCGCATGTTGAAGTGAATGTGGACTGGCTGCCGCCGTTGCTGCAGCGTTTGGCACAAGGTGTGGACGGCGTCAGAGTACGATATTCGCCGCGTGCTGTGATGCCCGTCATTGACGTCATAAATGCAGACACCTTCGACTACACTTCTAGTCCTCTAGTCCGAGGCGGCTTTAATTGGGGTCTTCATTTCAAATGGGATAACCTACCCAAAGGAACCCTCACTGGTACGTTGTTAGACATATCTACAGTTGGAGCATACATATCCAATCACGCGTGTATTAACAACAGCAGCGTAGCACACGAAGATTCGATTTTGGAGCTTTGGCAAGAGTCTGCGGTAGCGGAACTTTTCGAATTAGCATATATAGCAATATAGCAATAGCAATTATGCAGGCAAGATTATTTATGTCAAGTTGCTTGTACGGTGAAGCATGCGTAGCAGATATACTTTTAACTACACATACGTAATTTGTTTTCAGATGATAGAGACTTTGTAGAGCCAATAAAATCACCGACAATGGCTGGTGGACTTTTTGCTATATTTCGAGAATATTTCAATTACGTCGGCAAATATGACGCAGGAATGAATGTATGGGGTGGCGAAAACTTGGAAATATCGTTTAGAGTATGTGATATTGTTATTAAATACCTTAATTTTGATAACGATAATATTGGTACATAACTAGTGATAATTTGAAATATACAATTCACTAATAATGAGCATTATATAGTTGAATTGTAGTTTCGTCACTTGGAACTATGTAACACTGATTATTTTTCAGATCTGGATGTGTGGTGGATCCTTGGAACTTATTCCATGCAGTCGCGTGGGGCACGTGTTTCGTAAACGGCGACCTTACGGCATGGGGGAGCAGGAAGACTACATGTTGAATAATTCTATGCGAATGGCCCACGTTTGGATGGACGAATATGTGGTGAGTACACACAACACAGAGATTGGTGCTCGTAGAAACCAGTTTTGTATTTCCAGAGGCAAATTCATATATGTGTGTTGATTTCGTGATTATCTGTTAAGGTTTAACACAGCAAGTGCAACATTTTTTACTAAATATTAGTTTCGGAGCTGTTCAAGTTTTATTAGTCCTAAAACGTCATCAAATTCATGAAATTCAAATATAAAATGTCACGGCGTAACTTAACAGAGTATTTTACTTTTACTTTAGCACTAGTTAATTTAGTTAGTCTAGGTAATCTAATTCAAGTCGGCAAGGTATACTTTAATGGAAGCAGCAAACTGATAAGCGAGATAATTATACAGTCAAATAACACGTGGTACTGAAACTGGTTAATATTGCAATGCTCCACTCGAAACTCAATGATTTGCTTGGACTTTAAAAAATAGTTTTGTAAATTGTTTTGGTATCTTATGTCGATTGGGTCGTTCCAGACTTGGAACGATTTGGAACTTGTTTCTGACGATAATATTGCGCACCTATTAGGTACATATTTCCCATAAACTGTCGTTTGTTAAGAGGTCAGTATGAAAAAACGACAACGTATGTATTTTACGCGATAACTCCGGTATTTGTGAACAGATTTTCATGATTATTTTTTTGTTGGAAAGAGTGTACCTCCATCTGATCTGGTTGATCACGCATGAACATTTATTTTTATACATAGCGCCTAAATTTTACTTAAGGAACAATTATTTTAATGGTTGGTTTTGCTATTCTCCAATTCAAGGCGTTTTTCTCTCTCTATACTTTGAGTAGTGAGAACCGATTTTTATTATCTCCTGTGTCAAGTCCTGTATAGTGGTGAACTAGGATATATTTCAATAAAAGTAGGCAAATAGATGTAATTCCACGTACTTTTGAGGTCGGTTTTTTTAGTACTCTGTACCGAGATTATTCAAACTGAAATTCAGTGTACAGAATGAAATGTTTAAGTTCAGTAGCAAGTACTGTAGACAATAGAATTTTGGTTTGGAATAAAAATTAAGCCATTGTGGTTGGTTTATGGTTTGTGCAATTATATTTAATAGATTAAAATATAGAAGTACAAAAATCGTTTAAGGGGCATGCCTTACATTTACACCTACCTACATGTATATGCTCTAGTAGATTTTCAAAATTTGCCATTAACAAGGTTTCAGTTTCAAACGAATAAGAAAAATAAGGAAATAAAAACTTCGCATACTGTATGGTATATAACTTTGGATGACAAAAATGCACGGTAATGACCATGGAATGACCCATTTACTTCTTGCAAGTTGTCTCGGTCCAAAATATTTGAAATAAATATTGTCAATGAGAAATATATGTATACAAACGTTCATTTACTGCTGTTATATGTAAGTACGAAGAAAAAGAGCAATACGAACATGACATTAATAAAACTATAAGTGACATCATAGGATGGATGAATGGAAATGGTCTCAGTATAAATCTGGCAAAAACTAACATCTTGCAATTTCACTCGTCCAAAAGATTACCGGTCGACTTAAACATTTCTTTTAATTTTGTCAATATACAACAAGTGAAACATACAAAATTTCTGGGCCTTATCCTTGACAGCAACTGCAACTGGCATGTTGAGAGCTTGTGTAACAAACTGTCTCGGTTTATGTACTCATTGCGAAAATTAGTACATAATGCGTCTGTGGATGCAGCTTTAACAGCTTATCTTGGGTATATACAGTCGGCCATAAACTACGGTATAATTTTTTGGGGAAACTCTGTAGAGTTTATGCAGGTATTTAAGATGCAAAAACGCTGTGTACGTATTATTTGCGGTGGGTCTCAAATGGATTCGTGTAAGCCATTTTTCGACAAGTGCAAAATCCTACCCTTACCCTGCCTGTATATTAAGGAGGCTGCTGCATTTGTCCAGAAACATCCGTCCTATTTTGAAATCGCAAATAAAAGGGACCATAGAAATTTAAGACATGGGCATAGAATGGTTTACTCGGGCAATCATACCTCAAGGTCAAGATATACAACAGCATCCCGAATGAATTAAAAAAATTCGAGTACGTAATATTTAAAAATGCTCTTAGTAACTGGTTGAGTACTAAACTTTATTATAGTGTACAAGAGTTTTTTGACGATAATGACAAATTTGGTGACTAGCGATGTGACATGTTTATTAATAATTGTTTTTTTTTTTCTTTCATATTGTAATTCAATTCAATTCAATTCAATTGAATTTTAATCTGTGACATTTAATAATATTGTACACCTAATCTGGTAAACTATAGAGCACAAACCAATGTAATATTTTAAGATCATATGTAATTACCTATAGTTATGCAATAAATATATTCTTAATCTTTATAAAGAGCAACCCCTAGACTTTCTTTCTCATTCTTTTCCGAGGAAAGTGCCTTGTTAATCTACTTATTAAGTAGTAGAGTTTAATCAATGTGACGATTTCAAGTGTAGGTAAATTGGTGACCTATGAAATAAAGGTTATTTGAGTGTGAGTTTAGGAACTGATTCGCATAGAAACCACACACGTTTGCCTTGCGACTTGGTACCAGCAGTTTGTGACATTGTGTAATAACTTAATTCAGTTTTTAATCAGTTTGGTTTTTCAAGTGGGTTCCAACCAGTTAAGCAGCTTTAAAACCCACAAATTGTTAACAAGTAAATTAAAGTAAGTAAAGTAATTCACGTAAGACTTAAACCTGTAGATATATGTATATTGAATTGTTCATGATATTTAAACAAATTTGCATTAAGCCACTCTGCAAATACACCTGGTTTCTTTGTGTATAATATAATGTTTAAATGATTGTTTCAAATTTGTAGTATTAAATATTCATAATTGGTGCGTCACACGGAGATGGGAGTAGGCAACTTGGGCTTATTAAGTTGCACGCGATATTTGTTACAGCTGTGGGTAGCGAAAGATATCGAGCGGTATTCCGCGAGGTATTTTTATAAAGTTGGGAATTTGTCTGAATGTTGTAAGTATCGTAACGTGGTTTACAGACAAAGGTCATTGATCAAAATCCGTCGGCGGCTCACGTGAACTATGGCGACATATCGGAGCGGCTAGCGTTACGGAAGAAGCTGCAGTGCAAGTCGTTTAAGTGGTATCTGGATCATATCTACCCTGAGCTAGAGACTGGCGAAAATACGGCAGCCAAGAGGAGAATTGTGGCTCTTAATGATCCCGAAAAGAACAAATTCCAGCCATGGCATTCTAGGTACTTGTATAATTTATTTCCTGTTCTATATATATATTTATCAATGAAGTATGTAATCGCCATAAGTGAATAATACGCGTCGCCATTATTTAGTAAACCGATACTACCACACTCTCCAAGAAGTTTCGAACCGGCTATTCTGGTGTCTAGACTACATCATCCATAAATAAAAAATCTTGCAAAAGAAAATAACAGAGTGATTGCAGTAGCTAAATCATGACAAAACTGCAAAGCTACGAAAAGTTACGAATTTATTAATATAATAATTTGCTGCGTTCGTGAATTTAGTTTTTCTTAAAAGTTGACTGGCATACAATGCTTTTAGCATTAAGTCCGCCTTTTGTACCATTATTTCTTGTGGTCAATAAAGTTTAATAAATATTATAAATAAATAAATTGTTAAATGAGAGGCTTAAGAACACGTTTATTCGACACGAATTTCATCGCACTCACATCGCGCGGCCGCCGAGCGGAGTCCGCGTTGCCGCCGCGCAGCGACCGCGTGCGTCTAACCGTTATGGCAAAATACGCTCTATTTATTTAGCTTTTATGTTTTAACTTAAATATAAAATGAAATTTGAAATGAAATTTTTTGAAATGAATTGAAATTTTATTTGCTTAAAACGTGGTGTGAAAGATGGAACAATTATTACAGAACACATGTTTTACCTGACTAGGCATGCAAAATGTTCCTTAAATTTAGTTTAATTATAGCATTGTCATCGGATGTGTACAAGTAATAATACATAACAATACATAACAACAATAATAATAATAATCAATTAATTAATTAATAACAACAGAATAATAAACTAGCAATGTCAAATTATTAAATATCTTACATCATGATTACATTAAACATAAATATACCTTATAATTTCATGTCGACATCCAATAAGAAACAAAGAATAATCAGTCAATTAAAAACAACAAAATAATAACCTTCTATGTCAAACTATAAAATATTTATACATCATTATTACATTGTACATGTATATATACATTTAGCACTAATTTCATGTCAACATTTATCTAAAAAATTAGTCACTTTGTAATAATTTTTGTCTCTAAGCCATTCACTAAGTCTGTTTCTGAACAAATTACTTGGTAACGTTTGAATGTCTTTTGGTAGAGCATTATAAATTCGGACACACATACCTTTACATTGATTTTTGTAATAACACAATCTAGGTTTATTATTATACACCAGTCTATTTGGGTCCCTTACACCTCTACTATGTACATCTGTAATTTTTTTAAAAAGGTTTAGATTTTGCTTAACAAACCATGCCACTTCAAAAATGTACATACACGGTAACGGCAAAATTCCCAATTCTTTAAACAAAGGTGCACAAGATTCCCGTGGGGAAACACCGGTCATTGCTCGAACACACTTTTTTTGAGCTGTGAACAATTTTTTACACTCAGTTGAGTTACCCCAAACCAAGAGTCCATATCTAAGCAGAGACGCAATGTAACCATGATAAGCAGTCAAAACTGTAGATGATGATGATATATTTCGCAACCTCCTTAAGACGTATACGTAATTTATCTACCAGTGACTCGACGTGTTGTGACCAGTTGCAACTACTATCTATTTCCACGCCTAAGAATGTTGTAGAGTCTGCCTCCTGAATATTGACATCCTTGTAATTCATGTTAAGGTTCATTTTTGTTTGTCGATTTGTACCAAATTGAATGAATTTAGTTTTAGTCAAGTTAACAGTGAGATTGTTAAGTTTAAGCCAATTTATTATTACATGTATTGAATTGTTTATGTCTAATTCGTAGTTAATTATGTCATTTTTGTAAGGAATTACGACTGAAATATCATCTGCAAATAATATGCATTTATGTCGTGTAACCTCTGGTAGGTCATTTATGTAGATCAAGAATAATAATGGCCCGAGAACACTACCTTGCGGGACACCAGACGCATTGACTCTATATTGCGATCCTGCTGATACAACACAGCCGTTTTTATTTAAACGTTTTATTTCTACAGTTTGCTTCCTATTTTACAAATAGGAAACTAACCAGTTAAGAGTCACGCCTCTAATACCTAAATTATTTAGTTTTTTCAGCAAAATGTCATGAGATACAAAGTCAAACGCGCGAGTCATGTCAAAAAATATCACCGTTGTAGGTATTTGTGCATTAGTGTTCTCCACTATCTGCCGTACAAGATGAAATGCAGCCAGTGTAGTAGATTTTTTCGATTGAAACCCGCATTGCTCTTGTTTGATTATATTGTGCTTCTTAATAAAACTTAGCAGTCTCTTCTTCATGCATTTCTCAAATATTTTGGACAGCGCGGGGATTAAAGTTATAGGTCCATAATTATCAATGCATGCTCTTGCGCCTTTTTTATAGATTGGTTTCGCTAAAGAAATTTTTAACAATTCGGGGAATATGCCTTTTTCAATCGACAGATTAATTAAGTTTGTGAGAGGAGGCGTCAGTTGCTTATTACAGTGTTTTATCACATTTGTTGGTATTTCGCCGTAACCTGTGGCGTTTAGAGATTTCAACGTTTTAATGATAGCGCTAATTTCATTCGGTGCAAAGGGCTCTATAAATATACTATTCATTAAGGAAGATTTGTTAGTATTTCTGCATGACTTATTTTGTGTGTTAGTCAGATTGATTTGATAATCATTAAATTTATTGGTTATATCAATTGGGTCACTTATAATTTTGTCATTTATTATAATTTTCTTTAAAAATTGATGATTGTGTTCTATTACTATATTCGTTTTTTATTATATTCCACGATACTTTCCCCATACTTTACGCACGTAAAATTTGTTTATCATTATGGTGTCTCAGAGCCATATTCAAACAGCGTCGCAAAATTTTTGAATATAATCTATATTTTTTCTTCTTTTCATTACTTTTTGCCGTGTAGTATTGATAATGCAATATCTTTTTGGTTTTACAGCTTTTTATAATGCCCTTGGTAATCCATTTTGGTTTTCTATATTTATTTGAAAATTTAATTTTTTTTATTGTTAAACACAGTTTAAAAAGGACAATAAAAACTTGATGGAATTCTTGCATTGCTCTATTTACATCTGTTTGAGAAAAAACATTCGAAAAATTTAATTGACTCAGATGATTACGAAATTTATTCATGTTTTCCAAACAATAATCCCGGACATTACATAGTACTCCAACAACGGTTGTTCAATAATTTCTGAGACTGGTATATGTAGCATTTGAGCTGTGTCATGATCCGATAGTTGAAGCTTATGAAGTTCAGCCGTAGCCCCGTCGATGTTGCTTATTACGTGGTCAATGCATTTTTGAAGCCTTGTAGGTTCAGTCACATGTAAAATTAAATTAAAGTTTTTTGCGATATCCATTAAATACTTCGTCTTTTGTTAAACTTAAGGCGTTAATATTAAAATCACCTGACAGTATTACGCGGGTTTTTGAGTTTCTCATATATTTATGTAGCACTCCCTCCAAAAGTGACAAAAAAAGTGTAAACATTGGAGTCTGGAGTTCTGTAAAGACAAATTATAATAAAATTATATGCAGTTAGATAAGTAGCACAACATTCAAAAACATTGTCCTGTGCAATTTTTTTTATATCAATGATTTCCTGTGATTCTATTCCTTTTCTTGTTAAAATACAAACACCGCCTCTCTTTGATCCCTTTTCTCCTACAATAGCTAGCAGCAATATTATAGTTTGCAAAGTTAATAGAACACTCACAGCCCGCCTTTATAAAAGTTTCGGATAGGCATATAACATCAGGCCTATTGTCACTATGGCTTAAATCCGCAATAGTAACTTCTAGGATGTTTTGTTTCGAGACAAACCCGGCAATGTTTTGATGAAACAATCTAAGATATTTTTGGTGGACTACTTGGTTTGTGAAAAAGAGAGGTTTGCATGTTACTAACATTAATGAACTCTGTTAAACGTGGAGTCGTGGTTTGGTTTGTAAAATTCCTATTTATTTCCGTGTCGTGCATGCCTGAGATTTGAAGTAGCAATCTATTTACCTCTGAGAAAAGAACTTTGTGTCCGTAATTATTTAAAAAACGTCTATTTTTACTAAGCATTCTTGTTTCAATGATTTTGTTACACTCCAGTATATGAGCATACTTATATCTAGCGTTATCCGAGCATAAAAGATAATTACACCATTCAACTCTCCTATTGTGTAAGCCGGAACAACGATCATATTTATATAAAGGGAGACAAATAATAAATTTAGTGTGTTTTTTTTGTAAAGTATTCCTGATCGATTGTATGATAATTTGATAATTGTTTGTTTCGCTAAAGTCTACGTCTCCTATAATAATTAAACTAAAGTCACTCAAATCGAAATCACATACCTTAGTTTCTATGTTTTTCAATAAACATTGCGCATTTACCCTTAGCGCAATATAATGGCAGATTTGCGAGTTAAGAAAACTACTCTCTGCATACTGAATAATTTTGTTCTTATTATTGCTGCTAAGTATACAAACTTTTCTTCTCTTTTCTGATTTATTATTTGATTCTTTTTTTGTTTGTGAATCTGATGGCTTTCTTTTATTTTTCGTTGGTTGCTATTTTCTTTTTTCTCTGCTACATTAAGGTTTGCAAAGCTTGAGTTATTTCCATCTTTCTCTATCATGGAAAAATCTAATACTCTTTTTTAAGCGACTTTTTTTTACTTTTCCTGCTTGTAGTTTGTTTTTCCTTTGTGGTCGTGTTAGTGAGATTCTTAAGTAAATTTTCTAGTTTGGTCACTCTGTCCTTAAGCTTATAATTTTCATTTAGTAATTCCTGAATTTGTTCGTCAGCTATTATTAATTCCTCGCTTACTTTCTTATTTTTATCCTTCAGCTCATTTATCTCCTGGCTTTGATTTACTTAAACTTCTGGACAGCTCCTATTCAGTTTCTTAGAAGATTTATAAGATGAGCGGTCCGAATCCTCATCTTCAGTTAAAGCTTCCGATAAAGAGTCGAAAGAATTGGTTGTTGGTTAAAAAAAAAAACATTGTAAGTCATATGTTTCTTCACATGAAGAACATGTCATAAATCTGCGATCATTTATTTTATTTTTGCATCGAGTGCATAATAATACCATTTTGATAATATTGCAATAGAACTATAAGTTTTCTTAAATTCTTTCGTATAATATAAAGTTTGGGACTGGTTGCGACACCTATTGGAGATTTTGTGTACTATTTTAGTTATATCCTTCTGTCAGAGGCGACATCTAGTTGTTGCACTGCGCAACTATTTGACAAAATCGAACGTCATCACTCGTATGATATATTCACAACTGATTGGCAGCTGATTGTTGTTTACATTTGAAATTCAATATCGTAACTGTCTCAAGATCACCAACAATTTCAATTTTTGATTCAATTTCACTATTATTGTGCAATACGTGTGATATGGTTAAAGTACTCACTGCAATTGGAAATCCGTGAAGTATAATATCCGTTAACACCAATTTGCACAACAAATAACTGGTTATGATTTTTTATATAACTAAGCACTATATACGGTAAAGTTGTCGTTCAATCCCTACACAAACACTTGCACAAAGCAATTATACTTTTATAACTTTATTTATGTCACTTTCTAAGCGGAAAATTACAAAATACTATTTATGACGAAATTTATATGCGGAGCTTTTTTACTGTGCGCAGTGGCGCCCTCCCGATTTTATTAAGTTTTATTAAATTTTATTAATAAGCGTTCCGGACGCGGGGGCGAGTCTGGCTTGAATTTAATCTACGCGGCGGTTGTATTATTCAGAGGAATTTAAATGTTGTTGCCTAGTAAATAGTATTCAGGTTCGCCATTAATGTACATGAAGGCGTGGTAACTATGCAGTCTCCACGCGGCGGCCGCGCGAAAGCTTTCTCCTCATATAAGGGCGCATTTAGTGATCATTATTATGTAAATATTTTTTTTTATTTCACAGAAAGAGAAACTATGTGGATTCGTACCAAATTCGGTTGAAGAACAGCTCATTGTGCCTCCAAAGCGCTAAGGACATCAAGACCAAAGGCAGTTGGTTGATATTAGCTAGCTGCATAAGGACACTAAATCAGGTATTGTATTAATCAGTTTATACTAATTTGTTAATTTAACTGCCTCCGTGACCGAATGGTTACCGTGTTGGACTGCCACGCAGACGTTACGGTTCCGATTCCCGGTCGGGAGAAATATTTGTATGGCCTATATTTATTTTTCTTGTGAGTTGGGCATTGACTTACAAATAAATGGACGACGGCGACGGGTCTAATACAAAAACCACGAAAAAAATGTTCCAAGTCAACCTATTTAAACGTAGTGACATGTAAAGGAATATGAAAAAGCTAAAACGTTGAATTTAAATTTAAACTGTCTAATTTTGCTTGCTTCGCTGTCAGTGGAACAAACGAAGACTAAAGCGTGAATGACGCTCTGTATACGATTTTAACGCCCTATAAGTTCGGACACTTTTTAGCGCGGACCCGACGTCCATATAATTGTAAGTCAATGGAGTTGGGTGTAATTTGTGGTTGTGTACGTGTGTGTCCATGGCGCCCGCAATACAGGGTTTCCATAGTGCGCGTTCATATTATTATTATATAGGTGCATTGTACGTATGCGAGCCCTAGATTCTGAAGATAAACATTTTCTTTTCCCGGCGTAGAATTTGTAGACCTATAAATAACCTATATTTCTATTATAGGAATACAATTTCAATTGAATAGAAAGCCACATTTTGTAGATCATACTGAGTTGCGAGATACTATTGTTATGGATATTCCAAAGATGCGCACGAAGCGTTACGCTTCCATATTTATATGGCGAACGGCTATGAAGTGCAATTCCTTGCCAGCAGACTTATTCCCTGAACGCTATAACTAGGCCTTGTTCAAGGCTAGAGTGAATAGACATTATTCAGGTGTGTCGACGGACATCTTCACTTTCCATCAGGTGCGGTTTCCGTCAGGTATTTTATCATAAAAAGGAAATAGCCTAGCGGGTGATGCATCAGTACGCGTTTTCCTTACAAAGTCAACATGATGAAAATGTTGTCATTTTTATACGGAATCTAATTTTTTAGCTGGCTTCTTAATTAAGTATTGAAATTGAAAGATTACAACGTTGCTAGAAATGCTTATCGTGCTGGGCGAATTATTTATAAACATTTTTTGTCACTTTCCTCATGTTTTCAATTATTGATGATTTTTTTATGGCATGTATTGCGTGCACTTTCTCAAAATATATATTTGCTGTGTAGATCGGTTTCTATAACAATAATGGTTCTACTAAGCAAACACCAATGTAATAATGTCGCATTTGAATAATGCGACATTATAATAAACAAATGGAATCCTTTAGTTTTACTACTTAACAGACTTTCTACAAAAACTACTGATTATTTGCTTGCGTATATATCATTTATGTAATCGTGGTTGTGTCTGAATCGCAATTTTGCTAATTTATTTATGTTGATAGTTGTTACTATTGATATTGACGTGAAATTAATAAAAAGCTGCAACGCGAATTTGTCTCGAAAAATGCGTTACGTTATAAAGTGTGTATGACTGCAATACTGTAAACATATAACAAAAAGGTCAACCATATTTCAGCGCGTGTACGACGCAGACATGACTAAACAATTGAGCTAGACAAACAATTTTTATATGAAATTAAAAGATTCATTTCTCCTGCGCAATTTTACTAAACTCGTTTGATAACAAGAGTACAATTACTAGTGGGATTATTGTCGGACTTTTTTGTAACATCCTGTATTTGTATAATTTTGATTGTTTGTATTTGCTTCATACGTGTTAGTAAACGTCCTAGATAAATGTATTTAAGGTTTGTAACGTACGAATTCATGAAACATAGTTACTTTCTAAATTTTTTTTATATATTTGACAATTATAGATGTGGTTCGAGACAGATCGTCACGAACTGGTGCTGGGTCGTACGCTTTGTCTAGATGCGTCTAACAACGTGGCACCTACATTGGGCAAATGTCATGAACTTGGCGGATCGCAGGAATGGAAACACAAGGGTTCGGTAAGTATAGAAATTACAAAAACCGTCGATTTAGTACAGCCATATTCTACTTTTATCGAAAAAGAAATTGGATATGCACATATATATATTTTGTAACAAAGCAGAAACATGAAAATTTAAAAATTGTTATAGTTTAATATTGATTAAATCAGAGTAATAAATAAAAAAAAAAGACTTTTCAACATAAGTTTACGAAAGAAGGATAGCGAAAGCTGACCCAACAATTATAAAATCAACGAAGAGCCTTTCATGAACTTTGCTAGTATGGTTTTACGTTTTAGTTTATGCCTAGTTATCAATATATTTTTGTATATTTTTAGAAGTCGGGAATAAAAAAATGTAAAACAATGTAAACACGTTGTTTTCTGCTACTGCGAACAAATATTATGAAACGAAATACAAGACAACCTTATAACATAACTTGTATCAACTTTATAAGGCTTTACTCAATTAGCTTTTTTAGTACGGTTGCCCAAAACGTGGTATTTTTCGTACTACAAATCGTACCGAAAGTTGGATTTTTCGAGTACGATCACTAGTAAGTGCTTTTTACTTTCTATTTTTTTTTTAAATTTGCTGTTGTGCCAAGTCTTCAACATAGAACTAAAGAGGTTGTATATTTAATTAATATTTATGACATAGAACTAAAGAGGTTGTATATTTAATTAATATTTATGTGCTTTGTGACGTAAGTCATTCGTCATTAAAACTTATATTTACTTACAAACATCAAACAAAACATTATAGGTATAGCTCCTTTTGGAAGAATTTGTCCAGGGAAGTACTGCCACTACCTATTTCTGCCGCCAAGCAGTAATGTGAGTAAATCTGCGTTCCGGTTTTGAAAGGTGCTGGTGAAATTACAGACACATGAAACTTATCAACTTATGTATCAGGGTGATGGGCTTAGTGGCAGTGCCCCTCAGATCTTTGCGATTTAAAATTCCGGCACAGCTCCTGTCATAGACACGCGTGTCGCTTATCACCAGGTGCACAACTAGTTCGTCCCGCCACTTGCTATAATGAAAAAGGTATATTGGTTATTAGGTAACGTCCGCCAGTTTTTAAAAAGTTATAAAATAATGATGATGTCTAGACCATATAATTGGTCTTCGTTTTCTTGGAATATGAATTTCTATAGAATCTCTCTTGGTATAAATATTTCGCATAAAAGAACGTATTATGACAAAATCACTTGCATAAACAAGGCGCCTAAAAAAATTGAAATATAAGTAACATCGATTAACTAGATAAATTGTACATCGAGAATCATCATCTTTCGCAAAGAGCTTGAATGGTGGTTCGTGAATGGTAAATAATAGACATATAAGGTCGCCCTAGATGTTATAAAAAAGGCAACAATGCAAGAACTTCATCATTTTTTTTTACAATGAATGTAAGAAAATAGTCAACAAATAAAAATAATATGCGCTTGAGGACGTCTTGGACAGTAGTCACGCTTCCTAACTTTAATTACGTTTTTATTCATAATTTACGCATTAATGACTGTTGCATTAAATAAATTATGCAATTTTTCTTGCTCTAATTGTGAAGAATTATTTATTAGACATAAATACAAAAATGAAACACGAACTGTTTATGTTTTATATGGCGTTTTTAATTTTTGGTTTACAAATTTAGTATCATTATTACGGACGTCGTAAAGTTGACGAGGTTTAGAAACTATTAATATTTATTGTGGACAGAGAATTCTCTCGTCCACATAGCGAAGAGGTTACCGGACCCTCGATGTTAAGGTTATGTCTTGGTGCACTTTGTTACCTGCAAGTCTTCAAGTAGTAGCTTGCAGTCGGAGTAAAGTTCCTTGCGAAAGACTTCGTCTAGGGAAGTACTGTGTTCCAGTATTGAAAAGTAAGGATGCTAGTGAGACTACAGGACTTGTCAACTTTGTGCCACAGCTATTCTCATCTGATCCTGTACATCTGATACACTGGAAATTTTAAATCCGAACTGATTCACTCTATATTTCGATAAACGGATTCGCAAGAGATCTGTTTTAGGGGATCAGATGGGAATTACTTTTACCACGAGCACGCGACTTGTATGTCCCATCACTATATGTTTATAATAAAAAAAATCTGTGCTAAGCAGTGAGACAGTTCCTCTATTTCATTCTTTTTATTCTCTAGCAGCATTTAAAAAGACAACTTTAATTTAAAATCTAGTGGGTATAATTAGTGATAAAAGAGACTCAGTCTTTTAAGGCGTTTTATAACGACTCGACTCTATTTTACAGGACTAGACTCTAAAATTGAGACTGGGGGTTCGAGTTTTTATTAATAAGACTCAGTCGTTATACTGAAAGACTCAAAAGACTTGAACGACTTGAAAGACTTAAACGACTTGAATTGTTTGCAAAGGACTTATACCTATTTTATATCTTATTAAACCCGAAGTTTATAAATAAAAATGACGTAAGTAGTATGTAGTAAATAATCACGTTTATATATAAATATATAAACAACAATCATCGTGTTTTATAAAACAACGGGTTACAATTATTAATACAAAGATCGAACACTCAGAAAAAAACACTCAGAGAAGTTTAAAAATACTAAAATATTTTCCAAAAAGATGGCTGATTGAGTATTAACAACGACCGGAGGTATTACGCGATACCGCTGCGCGCCGCGCCACTAAAATAGTAATTTTAATGACTCAAGACTTGTATCAAAAATAATTATTTTGATACAAGTGCGGAAAGTTAGTCATTATTCACGAGTGACGAGGCTTCTTGGCCCGAGCCAGAGCACTGTGATTCCCCCATAGGCCATAAATAAAAAAAAATCATTGGCTTATCCCGGTTAGATCAACTCACTAAGTTAGTAACTAGTTAACAAGCTTCCAAAAACTATAAATATCAATGTAATTAGGTCACGTTATCATTCACTTTTGTGCATCGGAAGTGAGCGCATCGCGAGACTAATTATCACCACGTGTGAGTCATCGAAACTTAATCACTTTGTTTTTGAGTGTCACTATTCCAAATCAAGTGTTTACGTGTTGTGAAAGCATGGAGATCCAAGAGCATGGTATGTACTTTTATTATCAATTTTTTTTATGCATATTTTTTTTATATAATTTTTTTATTGAAGGCAGTTTTTTGGTGAAAATTTTTGGCATAACTTAATTTCCTTTAGACCTACAACTTTTGGCTGCGTTGAGCTGCACCTGAGGTACGAGTATATGGTTTTTGAATAAGGAGTATGTCCTTATTAAGAGCTATAAGTTTCATTTGCATCTTGCTGCCTCTTCTTGGCTTAAAGGGGTGTCAAAGTATGCATGTCCATAGTATTGAATTTTTAATTTTTTTTTAAGTTCAGCTTTCATATTGTTTTAGGTACATTTTTCAAATGTTCTGTATCGAGGATGACAATTTTTGATATTTGGCACTCTAAAGTGGGTAATCCAAATGAAAAAATGCAACACGTCCTGAGCACTTTGACCGAAACATCATCCCTTTCTGACGACATCGAAAATATTGATTTAGAGACTTTAAGCCTTAAAATTAAGAATATTTGTAAACGAATTTCCCACTACTGGGCAAAGTCGAATCGTACTAGATCTAAATTCTTAGAAAAATATTCAGATTGGCTGCATGTCGTTGAAAATATTGATGTACAGCGAACTGAGTTACGTGTATCTCAGAGCTTTGACGAAGTTAAACCATCAACTTCTTCATCGCATGGCCGTCCGAGAATTAACTTTGACGACACCAGTAAACGTACAAAAAGGAGAAGATTGGCTAGTTTGTCTAACCAAGACCCTTCTCTTGTACAGTCATTGCTCAATGCGTCCGATAGCTTGTCTTGTCCTGAAATCGATTCTAGCGAAGTTTTATCGCTCATTGTTGAAGCTCAGTTAACTCGACATCAATATATATTAGTAAAGAAATTTATAGACAATAAGTTTTCAAAAACCATTTTCCCATCTTACCAAAGTGTCGTGGAATCTAAAAAACACTGTTATCCTTCAGATATTACTGTTACAGAATCATCCGCCGAAGTCGAACTTCAAAGTTTATTAGATCATACTGCCAATCGGATTCTCAAGTCTCAAAAAGATGTTTTGGATAGTGTACCTAATGAGTCTCTAGATAAGATATCTTTGATAGGGAAATGGGGTTTCGATGGCAGTACAGGGCATTCAGAATATAAACAGTGTTTTTCTGACTCCACTCTTGAAGACAGTAGCCTGTTTGTTACTTCGTATGTGCCACTTCAGCTTGTTTTGACAACAGATAACAAAGAAAATTCAGTAGTTTTGTGGAAAAATCCTCGTCCTTCATCAACTCGATACTGTCGTCCTATACGCCTCCGATATTTGAAGGAATCGACTGCAGTGTCAGTTGAGGAAGAAGCTCATTTTAAAGATAAAATAAGGAACTTGCAGCCTACTGTTTTCAAGGAAGAAGATCGCGAATATCGCATTACTCATTGTTTGCAACTTACTATGGTAGATGGTAAAGTGTGTAATGCACTTAGTGGTGTTTCTTCATCAAAATGTTTTATTTGTAACGCCTTGCCCAGTGAAATGAACAAAATTGACGAATGTTTAAATAAGGAAGTCGATGAGAGTAAATATGAATTTGGTTTATCACCTCTTCACGCGTTAATACGTTTTTTTGAATATTTTGTTCATGTCGCGTACAAGTTAGATGTTAGGAAATGGCAAGCTAGGTCCGCTAATGACAAAATGCTTGTTGCTGCAAAAAAATCATATGTTCAGACTCAATTTAGAGAAAGATTAGGGCTTATAGTGGATAAGCCTAAAAGTGGCGGAAGCGGAACATCAAACGATGGTAATACAGCCAGGCGGTATTTCTCGAATTCAGAAATTTCCGCTGAAATTACTGGGATCAAGAAGGATCTCCTAGATCGTTGCTGGATCATCCTTCAATGTTTAAATTCGGGATATAATATTAATAAGACGAACTTCGAAGAGTTCGCTTTAGAGACGGCTCGGCAGTTAGTTGCCGA